TGTGTGTGTGTGTGTGTGTGTGTGTGTGTGTGTGTGTGTGTGTGTGTGTGTGTGTGTGTGTGTGTGTGTGTGTGTGTGTGTGTGTCCTACAAAGAGCCCACGTTGCATTCTTGTGGACGGAGAGACAGACATGACGTTGTCAGATTTTCTCAGTGGAAGTATTTCCTCTCCACAGCCAGAACTGTTTCTTCTCCTGCGTGGAAAAAAAAGAAAGCACATGGTCGTGCACTTCATAACAATTGTGCTCTCCTGTGTCCCGTGGTTTCTGGAAGCATTAACTGAAGACATTTGGAGTCAAAACTCGCAGCTGAGTTGTGTTTCGCGGTGTAGCGTAGCAACAATCCCCTAGTAACCCGATCACTTAAGTTGTACTCCAGAATGGTTGAGCTCAAATTGAATGCAGCTCCCTGAAGCCATCTTACAACGAAAGAGGGATTTTAAAGCCTGTAAATGTCAGAAAAGTTAGTTCACTTTCAATCAGATTCGGTTAAACTACAATTTAGACACACTTGGGTACAGACTATACCCTGGCACTCATTTTCAAGTACAACAGGACCTGAGTGTCGAGGGACATTTCTTGATAAGCAAGAAAACAAAAGGAAGTTATGTTGTGTGCACGTAGCAACACTCCCCTAGTAACCCGATCACTTAAGTTGTACTCCAGAGTGGTTAAGCTCAAATTGAATGCAGCTCCCTGAAGCCATCTTACAACGAAAGAGGGATTTAGAGCTTGTAAACGTCAGGAAAATGAGTTTATTTGTTATCCCTGCGTCAAAGAGATTGGGTTAAACTAGAGTTGAGACACACTTGGGCACAGACTACATCCTGGCACTTATTTTCAAGCACAACAGGACCTCGCAGTGTCCAGGGAAACTTCCTGATAAGCAAAAAGGATGTTGAACGGGTGAATTAAAATGAAGGAAACTGCTAACCTATCGCCCTCTGCTCGCGTGAAGAAGTGGCGCTCTTCACCTTTTTTCCCCTCGCCCTTTGTTTTCCAACCTCCTCCTTTGTTCTCTCTCTCTCTCCTTTGAGTCTCCTGCTAACTAACGGTATGTGAGTGTTTGCTGCATGTTGCCATGGCTATTCCTGGAGCCTGATGCACTCTGTTACCTTCCTGTGAGACCAACTAACTCTGGGTGCTGCTGTGTTTGTGTGTGTTTGAAGATCTTTTCAGTGAATAGAAGAGAGAAAGTAGAAAAAGTGAAGGTGCTGACTGAATGTGTTTCTTCTCTCCAGGCCCCCAGCAGCCTCCTGGAGGCTTTGGAGCAGCACCTGGCCTCCCTGGAGGGCAAGAAGACAAAGGAGTTAAACGCAGACACTAGGTAGACATCTTAATGTGCAACTCCCAGTTTACTTTTTTAAATGACAGCTCAAGACACAGCTTTTTAGATACAATCTAATTTATTTAATATTGTTTTATTTATTTATTCTATAGGTTTTTATTTATATTTATTCATTTGTTATAGTTTTATTAGCGACCTCCCATTTTAAATTGGTTTTCCAATCTTTATTATTCTAATTAATTTTTATATTGTTATTTATTTTATAGGTTTTTATATATGTATTAATTTGATAGTTTTATTGGTGACATCCCCTTTTGAAATTGGTATTTTAATATTTATTATTCCTATTCATTTTTATTTGATTTTTTATTAGTAATTTTTTGTTGTTTTATTTATTTTATAGCTTTTGATATTTTATTGTTTACTTTGTCTGCCCTTATTGAGAGAGGGCTCATTTATGTGATTGTATTTTCTTTTCCTTATCACACTCTTTTACCTCCTTGTGTCCATTGAACTGTTATATTATGTTTTAACTGCATGTGTGCAAAAAAGCTTTAACGTTTGTCCTTATGCGTATTCCTTTTTTAAATGTCTGACCAGTGCCATGTTCTGAAATCACATTGAGCTGCACCTGGTGTACGAAAGGTGCCTGATTACATTTCAGAATAAGTTTGACATATTTCCCCTTTTTGCAGGGCGTCCACCCTGTCCAGCGCCGTCTCGTCCCTCTCCTCCACCGGCATGTCCTTCAGCCGGATGGACGAGAAGGAGAAGCAGCAGGCCCTGGAGGAGGAGCAGGCCCGACTGCAGGCTCTCAAGGTAACACACTCTCCTCTCTAACAAATCACCTCTGAGGCAGTGAGACAGGAGCTGGAGCAGCAGAGAGTCTAAAAACACAAATGCTGCCACCCTCTCCTCCTCTCAGACTGTGATTGTTGGGGTTTATACTGTAAGTGTAGGACCCATTTAAAGTATTAAAGGTCACCTATCATGCCATTTCTAGGCAATAGCATAGGTCTCAGATATATAAAAAACATGTCTATGAAGTGTTTTGCTCAAAATACCAAACAGACCACCCATTCTAGCCATGCCTCATATCCCTCTATTTCACTTCCTGTTTCAAAAGTGCTGATTCGGAGTATTCATTTCATTTCAAACCTTTATTTACTCAGGTGTATCCCATTGAGATCATTGATCTCTTTTTCAAGGGAGACCTGCTCAAGTAGGTTCCACATGAAACATAAAAACATAAAACAACAAAAAGGACATCATACAGCATCATTACAGGGATAACAATTTACAATAGCTATCCACATGAGCAGGTACCAACAAAATCCGATTGAGTAGCATCCAACCGAGCTTTAAAAAATGTTAGTGGCACCAGATTGCTCAGTTTCCATTTCAATTGCAGACTATTCCAAGACAGAGGAGCTGCACATCTGAAAGCTATCTTCCCTAAGACTGTCCTAGCAGTTGGCACATTTAATAAAACCACAGCATGCGATCTCAGGCAGTAGCCACTTACAATTCGCCGTGAGATCAGGGAGCAGATGCAGGATGGAAGTTTCCCTAACATGGCTTTGTATATAAAAATGTAGCAGTGACTGAGCGTCCGTACAGTTAGCGAAGGCAAACCAGCCCTTGCATACAGGGTACAGTGCAGAGTCCTGCATCGGGTCGGGTACCCGCCGGGTGACCCGCAAAAAACGCGATTAACGGGTGGTATTTCTTCAAATGCTTTTTTCCGGGCTCGGTTCTGGGTAAAACAAAGATGATGCGGGTCGGGTCGCGGGTGTTGCATAATAAATATATTAAAAATAATTTAGTTTAATTTAATGTTTAAATCCTCAGACCTCTCCCCCGCGCATAACCGCGCATACTCATAACCTCTGCAGCTTATCAATCTGCTGCTGAGCGCGCCACATTCAAAATGGCTGAGGTGAAGCTCTCTAGCGGAGAATACAGCATTTTCAATAAATCCAACGTCTGGGAGGCTTTTGGTGTCATCCTAGATGGAGAAAATAACCAACATCCCACGCTTTTTGAGACAAATATGCAACTGCGTGTGTTAATAATTGCACGTTTTCACTGCTAATACATATGCGGGTTTGGGTCGGGTTGCGGATCTTGTGCCGACGGGTCGGGTTGCGGAACTAATTGGCAATATGTGCGGGTAGCGAGGCGGGTTCGGTATTGCGGGTGCGGGGCGGCAGCGGTTCTTGAAAATCAGACCAGAGCAAGACTCTGGTACAGTGATGGG